GAGGAGTCAACACCACCACACGTGACATGAACCTTTGAAATACTGTATACGCAAACAGGTGAATGGAAATGTTGAGTCATCATAGAAAAGGACCGCCAAAATAAATTTGTGCTCACGGTGTGTTTCCCCTTTATTAGATAAGAAGGCAGCATTAGGAAAACAACCAGGCTCCTTGTCTCCTGATCTATGTTCTCCTCCAAGCTGCCTGGTTTTATGAAAGACAAAAAACCCCCCCAAAACAACAAAAAAACCCCATACATGTAAAGGCAGTGGTTGTTTCTACTTGTTTGCTGACCTGCTTCTCCAACCTTAAGTCTCACTGCTATTGACCTGTGGTTTGCAAGCCTTCAGCTTCAGTTGTTGGACAATCCCTGCTTACTTGGCTACTGGGTTCTCCAAAAACTGATCTTTGGCTGCCAGGTATTATAAAGCAACCAAGGCCAAAAAGGGTAGGGTACAGAAGAAAGAACAGCTTGGAGACATGCTATAGGAAGGACATCAACTGGTAACAGTGTGGGAAAGGGGAGTGAACGTGTGGTGGAGGTACAATTTGTTTAAATGTAAAAATATGAAGTAAGTTAGTATATTTTTCACTTCTGTCTGAGTCACTCTTCTGGGTAAACAGGCTAAGGATGAGTAAGAACTGACTCAGATCCCCATGGCAAAGGGAGATACTCGTTCTCCTTTGTCATCAAAGAATATTTACTGATGATGTAGCACTGGGATGAGCACTGTACAAAGTGCTCTGGCAGGGAAAGTAACATCGATTTTGCACTGTGGGAGTTACAGGAATAAATGTGTGCATAGTTCAACATTTGTTTGGCATACTTTTATAAAGCATCTTCAGTGGACCAGACACTGTGTGCTAGGAGCTGGGGATGCAAAAACAAAAATTAAATAGTCCCTGCTCCCAAGAAATTTACATTTTATCAGGGCAAACAGTATATAGCTAGCAAACTAAGTTTGAAATACATACATGGTAATGTGGGGAGGGGCACTAGCCACAAAGGGGCTGGGGATTTGGACAGGCTTCCTATAGGCATTGACATGAGTAGAACTTGTTAAGAAAACAGGGATTCCAATAGAGAGAGGTGAAGAGAGAATACTTCTGGGCCTGGGAGATGGCCTGTGAAGAGAGCTTATGATGGAGTCCTGGCTACATGTCAGGGTGGGAAAGTTGGGTGCCGTAGCAAAATAGGCTGAGAAGGACTGATCACGCAGGTAGGAGAACCATAAGAGAGCATGGTTAAGACAATCCAGGAAACAGAATGTCTAGGAGGAGGAGACTGCCAAGTGTCTAACACTACAGAGCAGTTAGGAAGGCTTTTTGTTATTGTTTATCTTTCATTCTTGAGGAGGACCATGACATCAGGGAGGCGATGCCATGACTTGCAAGTGAATTGGGTTTAAGGGAGAGAGGACTGTGCAAAGTCTCCAGCCTCGCTTTCACCTCCGGAGCCATCTGGGTCCAGTGGCAAGCTACAGAACAGGATGACTGGAGATGGCCCCCCCAATAGGAAGGATAAGGATTGAGAAAAGGCCATAGTTTTGGCAATTAATAGTTTGAACAGTAAAGTATTTCAGGAGGTTATACTGCTAATTATAATATTATGTTCCCTGGTGGGCTGGAGGGGAACAATGATACCTCAAATAGGGGATTTCACTTCCCTTAGGAGGATCCAGTTAAAACACCATTCTTTCATTCATTCAACAAGTATTTATCATAGATAGGTTGTATCACCTTTACTACTGGAATAGGGGACTAGCTCCCTCTCCCCTAGAGCCATCATAAAGCTGAGAGTGCTTGGTCAGTTCAAAAGGTCAATTATTCTAGTCCTTATGAGCATGTAGACTTCTTGGCTTTTTCAATCCCATGTAGATATTGGCACATGTATAGATATTTTCTAAGTAGTTCTGGTTTCCTGACCACTTGGTGAACAGGAGTTTCTTTCATTGGCTCGGGCTAGGTCCAGAACTCGGAGCATCTAAAAAGCACCAGTCTACTTCATCCTTTGTCTCTTGGTTTGAACTTCTTTCAGTCTAGTGATATTCTGGTGAGAGACGATACTGTAAGGGAAGAGTCCTCAGGCCTTTGAATAGGGACCTCAGTTCTTGAATGTGTTTGTTTTTTCACGTTAGGTAAAGAAGGTGACTGTAACACTGTGAGCTTGAGAGGTTAGGAGCGAGTACCACCAGAGGTCCAAGAGTGAAGTCTGTGTCAGGTTTTGCCTTTAGCTGGTCCTGCTCTAGTCCCCAAGAAGTAAGGAATGACCTTGAGGTGGGCCCAGTGAGATCCTCCCCAGCAGTAGCTGAAGCAAGGGCTCATCCAGGAGTGGTGCTACATTTGGACACAGATTTGGTGGGACAAATATTATACAGAAACCGTGTTATGTCTGAATCCACTCTCCCCAGAGACACAGGTGGTATAGGGGAGAGTGTTGCTCCTAACTTAGACTGGAAATGTTTGTACGTCTGTCTTGATATATCTTTGAAGTAAATATCCCTTTGTAAAAGCTAATTGATACTAATTCATTAAAAATAACTGAGGCAGTTAAAAGCAGGAAGAGGACCCTACTGGAATGGGGGCTTGAGCCTATAACAGAAGAGACACTACCACCCCTCGGGGGTATTACTAGAACCCTGAAGAGGCAACATAGCTGGCTGTCTCCAGGGAAATTGAGGCCAAAGTTCCTTCGACATTATAATAATTTTGTTCTAAAGTATAGAGGGGTTATGAACTGAATTAGTAGAGGGAGTATTAAAAAAAAAATAAAAAACAAAACCCAAAAAAAATAGAGGGAGTACTTACAACAATGAAATTAAAGATCTTTGCTAGTGAGATAATTTTTATTCTTCCTCAACTAAAGTCTTAATAGTTTTGTGAAGGTTATCCTGAGTTCTTAAAATTGTGGTAACAAATTCACAGGCTTTAATTTTCCAAGCTGAGGTTTTGGTTATAGCCTACAGACTCTATTGGGATAGATGTAATCTTCTCCCCTCTTCTCTGGCATTTAAAGCTCTTTATAATCTGGCTCCAATGGACTTTCCATATTTAGTATATCTCACTCCCCTTCACTCTTTGATCCAGACAAACCGGCCTTTTAGCTGTTCCTCAAACAGAGCAACCAATCAATCAATCAATCAACCAGCATTTATTAAAAGTGCTTACTATGTCAGGCACTGCGCTAAGTGCTGAGAATACAAAGAAAGGCAAAAACATTCCATCACCTGCCTCTCTGCTTTGCCGTGGGTTTTCTGTTGCCCTGACTGGAATGCATTCCTCCTTCACCCTCTGCCTCTTAGAAGCCTCTGTTTCTTACAAATCTCACCTCAAAGGCCACCTTCTACATAAAGCCTTTCAGACTCTCCCCAGCTGTTAGTCATATTTTTTTATTTTGTGTACAGTACACACATATATGTGTGCACACATACATAATGTACATGTATGTATGTACACATATATGTGTATATTATATAAGGCAGCAAGATGTAGTTGGTGGTAATGAGTAGAGATCTAGCCTCAGAGCCAGGAAGGCCTGGGTTCTAATCCCACCTCTGACATATACTGGCTGTGTGACCATGGGCAAGTAACTTGACTTCTCTAAGTCCACATATAAGTTGTAGAAAAGGTGCAGACCTATATTGGTGGAGGGAGTTTCCTCATCTGGAAGGTCTTTATACCAGTGAAATCATAAGTCTAGCCCTCCCCTCTCTCCCCCCTCCCCCATGTATGTGTTTTTCCCATAGAATGTAAGATCTTATAAGGAATGTTTCTTTTCTTGGTTTTGTATCCACTGCCCCTACACAGTGCCAAACACCTATTACGTGCTTAATGAATGCTTGCTTTTTGGTTAGCTGATTAATCTCTTGTCAGAGGCCCAGGGTGGCTCAAGTTCAGAATGATGCATCTCCAGGGCCCCAGCAACTCTCCCAAGACTACCTTCCCAGGAGTGGGTTGAGACCTGCATTTTCAGAGGGAATGCCCACACCTTCACAGTCTCAGACCATATTGAAGTATAATTTTATCCTCCCAACTATTTTAATCTCCACTCATCCACAAAAATTTTCTTTGTTTTCTGTTTCCTCAGCAGGATTTCAGAACTGCTGGTATGCAGAGACTCTTACTAACCCTGAAGTGAACGCAGTGACATTGGCTTCCTTGCGATTCCTCCAAGACACTCCATGCCTGGAATTCTCTCTCTCCTCATCTCCACCTCCTGGTTTTCTTCAATCCCCGCTAAAATCCCACCTTCTATAAGAACCGTTTCCCAGTCCCCCTTAATGCTAATCTCTTCCCTCCACTGATTAGCTCCAATTTATCCTGTATATATAACTGGCTTGTACATCATGAATTCCTTGAGGGCAGAGACTGTCTTTTGTCTTTCTTTGTACCCCCAGCCCTTAGCACAGTGCCTGGTACATAGCAGATTTACCTAATAAATGCTTATTGACCGACTGATTGATTGATAATGATAACCAGTATTTATGTACACTTTAAGGTTTGCAAAGAGCTTTACCAATATCATCTTATTTGATCCGCAACACACAAACCTGTGAAGTAGGCGATATCTCCATTTTACAAAACAGAGGCTCAGAGAGGGCAGGTAACTTGTCCAGGGTCACATTCGAACTCAGGTCTTCCTGATTCTAAGTCCGACAGGTACCGGCACACCCGGCTTGACACGCAGTGGGCACTCGGCAGATGCCCGTTGCTTGCCCACCCTGACACAGGTGGAGGTCAGAGGCGGCCGCGGCGTTGGGTGGAAGTCGGGGAGGACCGCGTGGGAAGTGCCCGTGGGGCTGGAGGGAGGATCAGTATTCAGGTGGAGGGAGATGCACGCGGCTGGAGGGAGCCGAGCTAGGGAGTGGAGGGCAGGCCCGGGAGGAGCGGTGGGCGGGGACTGGGGCGGGGCTATGGCTCTAGGCCCCGCCCCCGTATAGCGGAGGTGCCGGTTGGGGGGGGCGGGAGACGCTCTGTCCCACGCTCCGCCCGTGCTCAGTGGTTAAGATGGCGGCAGCGGCGGCGGCGGCGGCGGCAGCGGCGGCTTTGGGGGCGCGGGGCCGCCGGAGGGGGAGGGAACGTCGGAGCCCGTGAGTCGCCCTCAGCCCAGTGGAGGCGGCGGCCGAGACCCCGCGCACGAAGGCCGCTCGGCCGGGCCGGCCGCCGCCGCACCGAGCGAGCTAGGGAGCGCCAGGCGGGGAGCCCCGAGGCCGGAGCCGGGAAGGGAGGAATGTGACCGGGGGTCGGCGGGGGCTCGGGAGTACGCGAGCGCGGGGATGGGGCAGCAGGTGGGCCGCGTCGGGGAAGCGCCGGGGCTCCAGCAGCCGCAGCCCCGCGGGAGCCGCGGGAGCAGCGCCGCCAGGCCGGCCGGGCGCAGGCGGGACCCGGCGGGGCGCGCGGAGGAGGCCGGCTTCAATATCTTCACCCAGCATGGTGAGTGAGGGAGGGGGCTAGCGGGCAGGGGCGCGCGGGGAGCCCGGGCCGGGACCCCGGGCTTGGGCCTCCCCGTGGGAGGCAGCCCCGGAGACCGCGGGCGACCCTGCCAGGAGGAGGAGGAGGAGGAAGAAGAGGAAGGAGGAACGAGGAAGGAGAAGGGGGAGGGGGAAGGAGTGGGCAGGAGAACGCATGAGCTGTACCCCAGAGGATGGACAGATGGACTCCTGATCCAAGGGGGACAAACGAGGTCAGCAGATGAAACAAGGCTAGGTGTCAGCAGGATGGGGGGGCGGGGGGCTGCATCTCAAAGTCAAGCCAAGTCCTCGAGGCTCTAGGAATCATAATCTTAGAGACCACCCCAAATTTATCCTGGCCTTTTCTTCTTTGCATCACCCTGCGAGCTCCTTGAGAGCAGGGACTGTTCGGTTTTTGTCTCTGTCTCCAAGCGCTTGGCACGTAGTAGGCGCTGAACCCACAATGTGTAATCTGGGAAATGGAGACGTAAAGAAGGGAAAGGGGCATATGCACTTGGAAGGTTGAGGGATACAGAAGGACTTGAGCCGATCTGAGTTCCATGAGAGGCTTTGGAGATTTGAGGGGAGAGAGGAGAAGTAGGGAGCTACATTATGAGGAGGCATAATTGAGGAACAGATAGATAAGGTATGGGTTTTCTAAAGAAGCTGCTGTCAGTGCCCAGGAATATTTGGTGTTATTTATTGATGGGTGAGAGAAAGGAAATAGGGCTAATACACAAGTCTGACAGCTGTACTGATCTTTCCAGGGTGGACATTTGATAAAGGTGTAGTATGAGCTAATTTCTATTGAGATAATTCCATCTGGAGGAAAGTGTGGATAAACAGTTCTTAGGAAAATATATATTGAAATACTTTTGTGAGTGTGCCCTAAGGTTCTGCCTAGGGTAGTTTTCTCTCCCAGTGATCCCTTGGGTTCGATGATCGTGACAGTGACTTCCAGACTTATAAATCCATCCCCAGTTTCTCTCCTGAGCTCCAGTCATACATTGGTCAGCCCATCATTGGAGTTTTCCCACTGGATGTTTTGAAGGCATCTTAAAATCTGTGTCAATCGGTGGGGAAGCATTTATTGAGCACCTGCTTGTACCAGGCACTAGAAAGAAAAAGATAAATTCAAAACAGTTCCGGCTGTCAAGGGGCTTCCACTCTACAGGGGAATACAACCTACAACATATTTCTGTATACATATATGCAAAGTGTATGCACAGTAATTTTGGTGGTGAAGCACTAGAAACTGGAGGGCTGTGTAAAAGTTTTTTTTTTTAATCTAAACATGCCCTTTTCCCAACCTCCTTACTTCTGTTGAGCGGGCCACCATCTTCCAGTCATCAAGGTTTACTAACTTAGAGTCATTACGTCCAGTCCATTTTATTCCTCCCTGCACCCCTCTCAGTTTCCAAGTTTTGTCCCTTGTTAATTTTACCTCCTTAATTTTCCTCGTGTTCAATTCCTTCACACTACTCTTACCACAACTACTATAATTTAGGCTCTTATCTCTTCTTGCCTAGTCTTCTGCTACAGTTTCCTAATTGGTCTCCAATTTGTATTCTATGCAGCTGCCAAAGTGATTTTCCAAACACAGGTCAGACCATGTCACTACCCACTTCAACAAGCTCTAATGGCTCCCTATTTCCTCTAGGACAAAATGTAATCTCTGGCTTTTAAAGCCCTTCAACTGGCCCCAATCTGTCTTTACTGGCTTCTATATGTTATTCTCCTCCACACTCTCAACATTTTAGCCAAAAGGGCTTATTGGCTACATATACCTTGTTTGTGACATTTTATTAGCTTTTTCAGGCTTTCCTTCCTGTAATGTACTTCTTCCTTGCCTCTGCCTCTTAGAATTCCTAAGTAGCTCCCTTTAACATTTAGCCCAAGTGCCATCTCCCGAAGGAAGCCTTTCTTGATCATTTGTTCCCTTCCCCCAAGTATAGGTGCCCATATTATTTCCTTTTTACATTGTTTGTATATTGTATTTATGTAGTATGCAGCACATTAAGGTACTAAATGAATAATTGTTGATTGAGAAATAGATCTAACCTAAAGACATGATTCCTTCCCTTTAAGGAATATTCAGTCTAGCTGGGGAGATAAGAATAACGCATGTGAAACTTATAGAATAATTTAAGATCATTTTTAGAGAAGGGAGATATCAAAAAGTGCTTGGAGTAGTCAGAGAAGGTGGAACTTCAGTTGGGCTTTGAAGGGGATGGAAAGGAGGAGGGAAAAGGGAAGAAGGTGATTTAGATGAGAGGAAAGACTTAGAGGATGAATGTAGTGTTTCTGGGACAGTGAGGGTGAAGAGTTTGTTTTGAGTGTTAACTGGAGAATATGGATGATTAGGTAGGGTACAAACATACAAGGCCTTGAAAGCCAGGTTAGAGGAGTTTTGAGTTGATTTGGTAGCAAAGAAAGAACATTTGAAAATTTTGGAGAGGACTGACATGATGATGAATGAGTCAAAAAGCACTTAGTAAGCCATTACTACAAGTGAAGACAAATATAAAGTTAGTGCCATAGATGTACTCAAGGAGTTCACATTGTAGGAGGGGGAGGGTTCAACAGTGAAGCAGATGGTTGTACACTTTCCTTAATATCATTTCCGTTGATAAAACTATACCTGTTTTTGATGTTGCATGCCATTTGACAGTTCCAAGGACTTTGGGGAGAATTATCTTTTCTGAGTTGTCTCTAGTTGTGATTGCTGAGGAGGCTGGGGCTGTAGAACCTGCAGAAGCAATTGTCGGATTACCTTTCTATACAGATTAATTCCCTGGGTGATGGTTGCAAGAGCTAGGTTAGAAGCAAGGGCTGTGATCTGGGGGGCACAGCTGTTTACCAGATCTTTTTAGCACAGAGTCTCTCCAGGGTCTGAAGGAAGGTGATGGTTGAAGCAGTGGCAGTAAACATTCTCTTAGAATTTGTCACAGAGGAAAGGAAGGTTATACATTCAGATAATCACCTCAGATTTTTTTTGAATGACAGTTTTCACAGAGTATAGATATGTGGGATCCTATAGCATAATTTATTCAGTGAAAGTTGCCTTAGAAATGTTGGGATGCTCTCACAACTAAAATAGCAGCTCACAGTTATACAGTACTTTACAGTTTACAAAGCTTCTTCCTCACAACTTTACTGAGGTAGGTAGGGCAAAAATCTTGTTGATCAACATTAGTCTGGCAATGCTATACAGAATGGATTGGAATTGGGGGAGATGAGTTGATGAGGTTAGCTACAGAAGATTGTTGCGGTAATCTAAGCATGAAATGACTAGCATTGGCCTGGCTTGGTGACAGTGAGATGGAAGGGGAGTATGCACAATGTCTCAAGGAAGATTAGTAGGGATTTAGTAATTGCCTATAGAAAATGAAAATAAGGATCAGTCAAACCTAATTGTAAAGTTTCAAGTCTAAATGACTAGGAGAATAATGTTGCCATTCTCAAATCCAAGTGGTTTAACAAGCATTTACTGAGCACCTATTTTGGGGGAGGCGTGAAGTTCAGCACTAAGGGATTTGTACAAAGATACATCTCTGTCAAACATCTCTTGCCTTCAAGGATTTTCTAATCCAGTACGGGGGATAAGATATTCACAAATAACTATAACAGAAAGTGGACTCTGATAAGTGCGTGAGAGCTATTTTCTATAGTGCTACGTAACATCTGAGAATGGAGAGATACTATTCTAGGGGTTGCAAGTTAATCCTTTGGGGGAAAGGGGAAAAGGAACAAGCATGTGTTAAATGCCTGCTGTGTACCAGGTACTGTGCTAAGTGCTTTGCAGAAGTTACCTTTTTCTAAAGGGAAGAGAAGTGTTTTGTGGTTAATTGATAACTCAAAAAGAGTAGAGAGATATGGAAGAAAATAAAGATGGAATGAGCCCTTATTTAGAAAATTGAATATTTAACAGCTCTTCTGTTAAATTCTGAATTAATCTATGGTACTTTCTGATGCTTTAGGAAAAATAGTGAAACATTAGTTGACATTTGATACATAGACCTGGAACCTACAATGAAAAATTCAGAAACTGTAACTGACATATGAATTGCTATTTAGAGTTAGAACTATAAGATAGAAACCTAGATACTTATCATCTATCTAGCTATTGTTCTAACTTCACATAACAGTCTTAATCATCTGCATTCTCCAGTAACGCTCCAACCCTTCACCACTGTTAGGTACTTCCCCTCATTGTCCCACAAACACTACATTCACCCTATTATGAACACAGTTCCCTTATCTAAAATGTCTTCCTTTTTCCCTCCTCCTTTCTGTCTCCTTCAAGGCCTGACTAAAGTACTACTCCAAGTTGTATATACACATGCAAAGTTTCTGTGTAATACATATTATATATATTCATGTGTGTGCACATACACATTTATACATATACATCTGTGTGCGTAGATAGTGCTTCAGAGGTAGTAGTTAGATTTTAGTCTATTGACTTAACCAGAAATAACCAGGAAAAATGAACAGTGTTTGGCAGGCGTAATGAGAGCCAGTTACTGTTTTGTGTTTCTTTACTTTATATGTTTCACACACCATATGCAGTGTTATTATGGTGGATTCCTTTACATTGAAATCCTGTGCTTCATTGTGACTTGGCATTCTCTGGGTTCTTGAAGGTTATGACAGTGAAAATTAAGGTCTGGCACATGCTACCAAGCTGGAAAGTCTTGGAATATGGGACTTACAATAGATTGTGTATCTCCTTTCCAGCTTAGCTAAGTTTGCATAAGCTTATTATATTAGGTTGACAACAGGGCAGTACCTCTTTTTGGGCACAGCAAATTTTAACCATCATCTAAGAAGTCATGGTGGGTAATGATCTGCATTGGTGGATGAAACACAGGGGTTTGAAGTAGTCGAATATGCTTTCTAATTTTAGTCTTTCATCCAAAATGGCAGTTCTTTTAATGTGGACTAGGTAGTACTTAGGAAGACTAGAATAGTAACTTAAAA